CCCAATTTTTTTTTAAAAAAAAACGGTTTTGTATTTACGTTTTCCCCCCGGGGGGGGGGGGGCATTTTGCTCAAAATTTTGGGCTTTTCCCACAAGGGAAGTTCCTTCCCCCTTTTTGTTGGGGGTTGGATGGCCAAAAAACAAACCCCACCCCCCTTTCGGGGGGATTTTCTTTTTTGGGGGCCCCCCCGGTCCCCCCCCCCCCCCCCCGGCCCCAACAGGTAACGTTCAACTACTGCTACGTAGGGTACGACGAGGAAGCCAGAGACGGCCTCGGCGAACCCCCCAACGGCGGGAAAACGCTCGGAACAAAGCACGGGGAGGGCGAGGAGGTGGGGGGAGGCGGGGCGAAGGGGGGGGGGGGGGGAGGTGGGGGCGGCGGCGGCGGGGGCGGCGCGGGGGGGGGTGGGCGAGGTCGGAACCGGAAAGGCGCGCCTAGGTTGGAGGATCCGCAGACGGGGGAGACTGTGCGGACGTGGCTCCATACGGAAGACGCAGAGGTGGGTTGTGACTGTTTTTGGGTGCTGGTGGTGATGGTCGTGGTATTTCTGGCGTTGGGGCGATTGGCTAATGACGGGGATTGACGAGCGGGAGGGCTGGGTGCGCTGCCGCTGTTTTTTAGAGAATACTACTGTACACGTACCATCACAGAACGACTATTATACCCTTTCGAGAGATACAGCAGTAGCACCCAAGTCGAAGGGGATGGGTGCTGAAATATTAATCTTATCAGTGAGTGTTTTTTTTTTGCATCGTTGTGGTGGTACTGCTGTAATGGCGTTTTTCGTTCGCGTGTTGCTTGCGGCACGTCCCAGTGTTACCTCTTGTTGCATACCGGGGAGTGCAGGGGTATGCTCCTGTTAGTGTGGTGCCACCGTCCTCTTCTCATATCGTGCACAGCAACTGTGCTTTCCCACAAGCAAGAGCGAGGAACGCGAGACATGGCAAGGAGCAGACCCAAAACATGACTGCGCGAGAAATTTCGACAGCATGAAACACGATCTCAGGCCCCCGTCTCCCTAAGGGCGGGCGGGGAAAAGACGGGAGCGACCTTCACCGTTCTTGAAGACCTCGAAGGCCTAGAAGCAAGAAACTGTGGCTGACACCAAAGGGGCGATTGATGCAGCTCGGTGCGCGTTCGAAGTACTCCACCAACTGCTGTGCGGTGCCATGAGCAGCAACTCCAAGAGCATTCCAAGAACGCCCCTTTACGCCGCCCCTTTGACCCCCTTGAAAAGCTTTGATCCGCAGACCCTGTGAGCATGTGCGTTGTCCCCCCCTGCCTTCCCGTCGTTGTGTTGTTCTTTTGCAGAACATCGAGAAGTTCACCATACGCACTATCAACAGCGATGGCCGCCTCAGCGCGAGGGACCTGGCGATCGTGACGTCGAAGCGGCTGTTCCTCAAGCGCAACCTCCCGGTTGCTTGTCGGAGGCTCGTGGCGGAGCAGGCGAGGTTAGCCGCGGAGGTCGGCGGAGCCGTGGCGGGAGCGGGCGAGAGCAAGGCAGCGGGTGATGAGCGGTGAGAGCGAGCACATCACAAGTACTCCTATGTATTTTGAGTGTGGGTTTGTTGTGTAGGGAACGGAGTTGCTGCGTTCGTAGGTCGGGGTTGTCTAGGCCTTGCTGATGGAGATTGGCTGCCTTGCTGGTGTTGTCACGGAATTGTGCTGTTGCTTGGGTGAGTGCCACCAGACTGGTGTTTTTGTCTCATGTCCGACGTGGTTGAGGGCGTATACCTTTTCCCGAGAAGTCGAGGGAAGGCCTGGTGCTTTGGGGGGTTTCCTCCTCTGTGACTTGAGCTAGAAAAAAATGATCGTGGGGTTGAGACCCGCTCACACCCCGGCGAACCGCTCAAACCCCGGCGTGAAATTAGTTTCGAGACCTGGCGCAACCTCCTCCCCATCTCTGGGTGCTTTTTTTTTTTTTCCGCCTGGTGTTTACTCAACTCACTACCCTCTTCCATGAACCGCTTTTGTGCCGTCGCGGTGCGCAGCCGGCTGAGCGCGGTCAGGGCCCGCATCGCCGCCCAGCAAGAAAAATGCTTAGCCCTAGAACAAGGAGGACGCGACGGCGGCGGCGGCGGCAAGACGGTGGCAGCGGCGGCGGCGGCCGGCGGGCCGTCCTGGCCCCCGAGCAAGGCGAGGGTCAAGCTCTCCTTCCTCGAGATGCAGGAGGAGGGCATGCTTGCTGCGCTTGGGGGGGGGGGTGCAAGGCGCGCGGGATAACATCCGCGGAGCCCCAGCCGTCGCCTCGAACGGGGCCTCGGGGGCACGCAAGGCCGCCGCCGGCGAGAAGAAGAACGGGCCCGCCGCGCGCGGCGGTGGCGGGGGGAGCGAGAGCGCGGGCGGGGTCAAGAGAGGGAGAGGTAGGCCGAGGAAGGGGGCTGGAGGGAAGACGGCGGCGGCGGCGGCGGCGGCTAGTGGGTCCGCTGAGAAGGCGGACGCGGCAAGCGGCGGCACCGATGCTTCGGGAGACACGGGAGCGGAGGTCGCACCCGCGGGTGAAGCGGCGAACGCGTCCCCGCTCAAGGACGGGGCGGTGACGGTGGCCAAGGTAGGCGGGGACCAGCCAGAGACCTCTGCGCAGGGGGTAGTGAGCCCTAAAGCCGCGCACGGAGGCAGGGACGCCACCGACGACGACGGCGACGACGCATCTTCCGGCGTACGGCCAGAGGAGAGATCGCGGCCGTCAAAGGGCGACACTCCCTCCCCCCACGAGAAGGAGCGGCGGCGGCGACGGACGCGCTCGTCTTCTCCGGGAGCAGAGGATAAGGATAGGGGCTGCAAGGGTAAGGGGGAAGGCGACGTCAAGGATAAGGAATCCACGAGCCGGAAGGATAAGACGGAACCTGATGGCAAGGTCAGCAGCAACGCGAAGAAGAGCGGCAGTCCCTCGCCCCGTCGCCAGGGTGACGCGACCCCTCCTTCCCGCTCGTCCGAACCGGTAACGGCGGCGGCGACGGCGGCGCTAGCGGAGTCGAGCCGGTCGCAGTCTTCGGTGGCCTCTCCGGCCGGCAAGGTCAAGGAGGCAGGCCGCGAAGAGAGCCGATCTAGGGGCCGTCGCCGCGAGCATAGCGACTCCCGACGGCAGCGGCGATCTCCTTCTTGGGACTCCCGGCAGCGGCAGCGGCGGCGGCGCGTTGGTGAGCGGTGGCAGCGGCGCGACAGCAGCAGCAGCAGCAGCAGGGGCGGGGATTCCTCATACTCCCCCCGTTCCTCCCGCCCGGCGGCGGCGTCGGAGGACCGGAGGGGGAGGAGGAGACGGGACGATAGCCAGGATAACGGGACGTCGCGGAAGGGGCGGCGAGACGAGAGCAGGAGCGAAGTCCGACGCCGGCGCCGCCACCGCCGACGCCGCGATGACTCTCGATCGTCTTCGGGGTCGCGGTCGGCTTCGGCGCGACGGCGGTCTCGCTCCCGTTCTTCCGTCGTCTCTCGCTCCCGTCAACGGCGGCGGCGGGACAGCCGAGACAGGCCGAGACGAGACCGGTCTCGAGGGGACAGTCGCGACAGCGACGATAGGACAAGAGGGAAGTCGGACCGCGAGGAAGGCCGCGGTAAGGGCAGGAGACGGAGCAGGGAGGAGAACCGCCACCGGTCGCCGTCGCGCCGGGGGTCTTCTAGATCGGCGGCTCGCGGCGGGAGGAAGGAGAGCGGCATGGACCGCCCGCGCGGGTTGTCGGACGGCGGCCACAACGGCGGCGCTCGCCACAGCAGCAGCAGGAGCCGGAGGGAGCGGCGCAGGAGCCGGGACAGCAGCAGCCACGATCATGGTCGCAGCGGTGGCAGCGTGCCCAGGCTCGGGGACAAGGGTAAGAAAGAGAGGATTCCTTCCCCGTCTCCGGCGGCGGCGGCGGCGGTGGGGGCGGCGAGATCGGCGATCCCTGACAGCGGCGGTGTTGTCGCGGGCCTCAAGATTAGCGGAGGCGAGGGTGCTTCTGCCTTGCAGAGGAGCGGCTTCGGCGAGCGGAGGAAGAAGAACAAGGGGCCATCACGGTCCCCGCCCGTGGCGTCGCCTGCCCGGAACACGGCAACGGCGGCGGATCATGGCGGTGGTGACGACAGCCACAGCGAGTGGTCCGACGTCAGCGACTCCGAGGTCAAGGGCATCCGAAACCTGAGGAAGCGCCACGGGGAGGACTGGCGCGGCGTCCTCGGGGTCGAGGCGGACGAGCGCCTGGGCCTGGAGGTCGTCGCCGTCAAGGTCGAGAATGACCAGCTTTCGGGGGTCCTGCCCCCGAGCGAGGACCCTGCCAAGAGGCCCCGCCAGATCATGAGCGTGATGATCACGAAGGCCTCGCGGAAGCTCCCTCGCGACGTCCACCGGCAGATATTGGATACCTTCCAGGTGGTGATCTTGGAGCCCTACTACTACCCCCCGAGTTGCAAGGTGAGGGGTGAGGGGTGAGGGAGAGTTTTTTTGTTTGTGTGATCTAGGTAGCGATCTGTGTGTGCGCCTGGGGTGCGTCGTGCCTGTACAGCGCCAGAGGATCCGTTTCTTCCTCCCCCCCCCCGCTTTTGTGACGGCTATTATCCCGCTGGTCTTTGTATGATTTCATCTGCTTTGACAGAGATGCCCCAGTTGCTGCGGTATGACTTGGAGTCGCATTCCGCGGACCCTTATCGTGCGGCACCCCCGCCGCGCCGTCTACAGCAGTAGACTGAAGAAAAACAAAGAAACAAATTTCTTGGTGGGGGTCCTTTGGTCGTCGTTGATTTTTGTTGTTTTTGTCACCGTGTCGGTCCTCCTCGCCCCTCTCACTTCCGGCCTACGCTGCACCTACTTCTTTATTGTTTTCCACACAAAATCACAACAAATTAACCTCTTCTACAGAAAAGAGTCCGGGATAAGAATAGCCCAATAAACTCGTTATTATGTTGTATGATGACTGTTCTGTAAACCACCTCCATTGTGTTGTATGATGACTGTTCTGTACACCACCTCCATTGTGTTACATGATGACTGTTCTGTAAACCACCTCCATTGTGTTGTATGATGACTCTTCTGTACACCACCTCCATTGTGTTACATGATGACTCTTCTGTACACTACCTTCATTGTGTGATATGATGACTCTTCTGTACACTACCTCCATTGTTTCCCCTCTCTTCCGCCAGGAGCCGCCCATGTACGTGATCGGGCCCGCCGCCCACGTCGGCCACGCCGGCAGAGCGCTCGTGCGTTTCCACACCGACGAGGCTGAGGCCACCGTGCTGAACGTCATGGACAGCGCGATGGAGGGGGCGCTGAGCATCCGCAGACCCGAGGGGATCGGGGACGTTCTCGCGAGAGACCAGTCGTATGAGGTACGTATTCGTAGCGAGTAGTTGTTTTTCCACACGTGTGTCGATTTGTGAGGTACATATCGAGTTCGTGTGTCAATTCATGAGGTACATACATATCGAGTTCATGCGTCAATTAATGAGGTACATGACGTTAGTTGTCCACAAATGTGTCGATTTTTGGGGTACGGGAGTACACACACTTGCCACATGTGTCAAAATTGGTGTTGAGCATTTTTTTTTTTTTGTATGACAAGCGCACACGCCGTCCGATTCTTTTTTTTGTGGCCCGGCATGTTCGGCTTGCCGTTGGCTTTGCAATGTGCTCCTTGCCTGCCTGAGAAGCGGTTGGAAACCAACGGCAGTGATTGCCCCGGAACTTCGGTATCGGTTCCTGCGTTTGGTTGACGAGGACGTGCAAACCGCGCAGCACTTTGTTCTTCTTCTCAGCTCCGCCTGGTGCCGCTTACACAGGTCCTGTGTGTTTACAATAGCTCGCACGCAAGTGCCTTCACCCCCCCCCCCTATATTGCTCCGTCCCAGCGTTGTAGAGATGCGAGGTCAATGGTCTAACGACTACGGCATGCGTTTACATTGGTACACCCCCGCCCCCCCCCCTAGCGCAATGTGCGCGTCATCTGACAAGTCGTTCGCTGTTCGAAAACGAAAACAGATCAAGCCCGAAGAAACCGAAGCGCTGCTGGACATGAAGAGGCTGGCTTGGCTGGCTGGCGAGTGCTGCCGTTTGACAGGGACGACTTCCCTGACGGCATCCCTCAAGCGGTGGCCGCGAAAGGAGGGCCCAGCGGTGTGCAAGGTAGGCCTGCCGCCGCCTCTCGGTGTGTGTGTGTCCGTTCGATACGCCGGGGCCCCGCGGCCATCAAGAAAAGCACGGTGTATTGTTCCTGGCTCGTTTTTGGTGAGACTGCTGTTGCTTCGTCGAAGGGCTGGCTTGTGTTGTTGTTGGTGGCTTGTGGGTGTTGTGGCGCCGCGCTTGTCGGCTGGATGGCGGCCTCGACTCTCGACCCATGTTGTACGGGTTCGCGACGGTCTCCATCGACACTTGTGTGGGGGGCACTGGGCCAATAAAAGGTGGCGTTCTTTGTTGCCCTTGTTTTTTTTATGGTTATGGTAGAGTACCCACCACGTCATTGCAGCAATACGGCTGGCTTAGAACATAGGACTATACTTGAGACGGCTCGAGCGCATGCACCCTGGAGAAGATGTGTTGAAGGCCATGGCGGTAAGAGTTCGGTGACGCCGCCTGCTAGACTTCGCCTGATAAAAAGGCCTTGACGACAACGAACGACGTCTTTGATGCATCTTTTTGCTCCCATTGTCTTAACCCTTGCCGTTACCCTCACCTTAACTAGGTGGCCATCAAGGGCACCCCTAGGCAGTGCGCGGAGGCATGGGCGATCGTGCAGGAGGTTCTCGAGCGATACCCCGTGGTGGAGGGATTCATGCGCCGGAACCCCCGCCCGCCGCTGACCCTGGAGGACTGCGCAGAACTGACAAACGGCGAGTTTGTTTGGTAGAACGGCGGCAGCAGCCGGTAGCTTTTTGTTTGTATAGAGACCGGAACGATTTTTAATGTGAAGACAACAATGACAACAACAACAACAACAACAATCGTTCCCGGCGCTTCTTCGCCTGGGGGGTGCAAGTGGTGCCCCCGGTCTTTGCGACCCCCCTGTTTAGCGACATGCCCTTACATGTAGCGACCACAAAAATCGCCGGGCACCGCTGCTGTAGCCCGACTCCAGAGTTGCCGCTATATCCGCAGTTGCGACCTGCCCTGAGTTGTGACCATATCCCCTCCCTGGCGTAGGCTAGGAGTCGCTAAACACCGGGCCCACGGGACGTTTTGTAGACTTTTGCGCGCGTGATCCGTAGCCCCTGTGGCGTTTCTGCGCTCCTGGCAAGTGCGGCCAAAGAGGCTCGGCGCGTTTAGCTCTAGTTTAACACCCGCAGGATTTGTCGATGCCGGTTCCGGTCGGTGGCTCGTATAATAGTCGCCACCTCTGGGACTCGCGACACAGAGCAGCAAGTCACGACTGTTTTGAAAGAGACGGCCGCCGTACGCAGTCGAACGAAGTGTTTGCTGGTGCGGGGGGAAGACAACTGGCCACGAGTTGGGGCGCTTTGTGGTGTACTGGATCAGACATGAAACGTTGACTAAGCGGTGGCAGCGTACGTCGTCCTATTAGGGTGTTTGTTTGAGCCGGGGTACAACGGGTGCGAACAGCACGAAAACCGGGGTTTCTATCCTACTAGGCTTGCTGCACTGGAGCGCCCATATTGCCACCGCCATTAACCCGCCCAAAATCGTACTTTTTCGCGGCGCCCGTGTTCGCGGCGACCGCATTCCGCCAACGCCCCCGGCTCACACAAGTGTTTACCCCCCCTTTGCCGCCATTGTAAATATCCAAAAATGTACAGCTGGTGCGTCCTCCCCGACCGTAGCGCCCGTGGCTAAGGCAGCCACGCCTTCCTCCTCGCTGCCGGCGAGGCGTCGGCTAGCCTTCGGCGCAGGCCTCATGCGAGTAAAGGCAGCAGCAGCAGCAGCAGCAGCACCCACGGTGGCTTCGGCGGCGACGGCGGCGGCGGCGACTACCGATGCGGTCGTCGATAACGCCGGCGCCGGCGCTGATGTAGGCGGTGCTGCCGGTACGGGCGATGATGGCGGCGTGTCGGCGGGGGCAGCGGCGACAGCGGGAAGCCTCACGGCCGCCACAGGAGACGGCGGGGGTGCTAGTGCCGCGATCACGTCTGCGGCGCCCCCGGCAAGGAAGTCGCTCGCGTTCGGGCAGGGCATGGGGACCGGCTTCAGGCAGGTTAAGGCCGTCCCGGGGGTTGCTGCTGCTGCTGCTGCTGCTGCAACGGCGGCGCGGAAGCCGACTCCGACGGCGGAGTGGGACGATGGCTGGGGGCTGCCCACCGCGGTCATCGAGGCGGAGGCGGCGGCGTTGCGAGAAGCGGCCGCGGCTGCTGCTGCTGCTTCGGCTGCTGCTACTGCTGCTGCTGCTGCTGCTGCTGCTGCTGCCGCTGCTGCAAAGGCCGAGGAATCAAAGAAGGACGGCGTCTCGGTCGCGAAGGATGCCAAGCGGAAGCGTGAGAAGACATCTGTCGGCGGCGACGAGGAGTCGCAGCGGCAGGGAGGGAAGAAGAAGGCCAAGGTAGTTGCAGCCAAGACCAGTGGCGCTGGGGGGATGGCAATCGAGGTCGACGGGGAGCGACGAGTGTCGCCTGGCGCCTCCGGGAGTGCCGGATTATTGTCGCTTTCGTCGTCAGGAAAGAAGAAGAAGTCGTTGGCGCAGAAGGGGAAGAAGCCTTCGAAGGAGGTCCTTGTCGCCGGAGAAAAGAAGAGCGGCAACAACGCAGGAGGCGTCGAGAAGCGGGCGGATTCGGAGCCCAAGCCGAAGCAGAAGCTGAACCTCAAGCCCAAGGCTGGCGAAGATGACAAATCGGACGGCGCGGTCAGCGTAGCCGCGAAGGGCGTCCCCACCAAGCGTAAGACGGCGGCGGCGGCGGCGACGGCATCGCCTAAGAAGAACAAGACGAAGAAGAAGACTACGGGTGTGCCACCGTCGGCGTCGACGTCCCACGAGACCCCCGACCTCAAGGGCAACGAGGAGGCCGGTTCGACCGCAGTTGAGAAGACCTCGAGAGGTGCTCCTACTGCCGCTCCCGCTGCCCCGCTCCAGGCCACGAAGAGCGCCGGCCGCGGTTCCCCCGGTCCGGTTTCGGACAAGACCGGCACCCCCGAGAAGAAGAGGTCATTGGCCGGGAATCAACGGGGCCGAAGCGGCGAGGGATCCTCTGCGAACCCGGAGGAAGCGCTTAAGCGGGGGGGCGACGGCGCCCCCTTGGAGGAGGAGGGAATTCCTGCTACGCTGAAGAAGAAGAAGAAGAAGGGCGCGGGCCCGAAGGGTAAGCCTAAGACCGGCCTAGTGGCGGCTGCAGCGGGTAAGGGGGAGCACGCGGGCTGGAAACCGCGCAGCAACACCAAGGAGAAGGAGCTCGGGTCGTCGACGGGCGGCAAGGTGGTGCCGCCGTCGCTGTCCCCCGGGCGGGTCGCGAAAGGAGAGGACGACCGGAACGGAACGGCGCCCGTCGAAAACAAGAAGAAGAAGAAGGAAGACTCTGCCTCAGTAGGGGCCCGTGAGGGACGAGGTAGGAAGACCGTCCCCGCCAAGAGGAAGAAGGTGCCGGTCTCGACGAAACCGTCGACCTCCGCCGAAGGAAAAGGAAGCTCGGGGCCGCCGCTTCCTCAAGACCCAGATCCCAACGATCTCTACCTGGGCGTTCTTCTCCCCGAGGCCGAGGAGTCGGGAGCGGGCAAGCAGAAGGAGGCGGGACCGGCGACGAAAGCGGCCGCCGCTGCAGCGGCCGTCAACGCGCGCCTGGCGCTAAGCGTCCGGATGAAAGGCAGCGCGGCCGCGGCGGCGGCGGGCCTGAAGCCTCGGTCGGTGCGCGTGGCGGCCAAGACTGCCGCCAAGGCGGGGCCGCAGAGGCCGCCGGCCGCCGCCGCCGGTGCAGGTGTCGTTGCGGCGAAGCCTGGAGCGCCTCCGGCGGGGTCTATCGCCGCGCATCTCAACGCTCTCGCGGCATCAGCGTGTGCTCCGACCGCCCCGTCCGCCATGGCTGCGGCTGCGGCTGCCATGATAGCGCGGAGGTTGGCGGCCCCGGACCCTTCCGCTAGCTCCCAGGGGACAGCTGCTGCTGCTGCCGCCGCGCCGGTACCCGCGAACGGCCTTCCGCGTGGAGAAGACGGCGGTGACGGCGGCGGTGGCGGCGGCGGTGGTTCGGACCCGCGCAAGAGCATGGCGGCTTCGGGCAGGTTAGAGAAGCCGGAAGGATGCGACGACGGGGGCAAGGCGGTATCCGAGCGTAGGAGGATCAGGGGCGGGAGCGCGTCGACGGTGCGGACATCAGGCAGTGCCGATGACGACAGCAGTGATAACGACAAGGACCGAAGCCTCAGCCGAGGGCGGTGGAGGAAGAGGAGGAGGGAGGCCGACTCGCGAAGCCGAGAGCGCCAGTCGCGGCGCCGGCGGCGCCGCAGCCCTAGCAGGAGCAGGAGCAGGAGCAGGAGCAGCAGGTGCAGGGTGCGCCCGTCCAAGACGAGGGGCCGTGGGGATTCTCGAGACAGCCGTAGCGGGAGCAGGGGCAGGGGCAGGCGGGGCGGGGACAACAGGGAGAGGGTCAGGCGGGGCGAGGATAGCAGGGAGAGGGGCGGTAGTCGATGGGGCCGGAGACCCGCATCCCAGCGCAGCAGTCCCACGAGATCGACCACCAGGAGGAGGAGCCCGGCCAGGGCCAGGAGGTCGCCGTCGCCCGGCAGGCGCCGGAGCCGGGAGAGGAGCCTCGCGAGAAGTCGCAGCCGTAGCCGCAGCCGCAGCCGCAGCCGCAGCCGCAGCCGCAGCCGCAGCAGCGACAGCAGCGACAGCAGCAGCAGCAGCGAAAGCAGCAGCAACCGCCGCGGCCGATCGCGCAGCAGGGACAGGGCTGTTCGCTCGAAGAGCAAGGGCAGCAGCAGCGGAGGGCACAAGCAGCCGCCGCAACGCCGGCGGCGCGAGGAGAAGACGGAGCCGGGGAGCCGAGGCCGTGACGGCCACCGCGGCAACGACCCCCCCGGCGTGTCTCCTTCCCGCCGCCCCCGCGAAGAGAAGGACCGGGCTTCGGGCAAGACATGCGGCAAGGGTAGCGGTGATGGCCGTGGCGGCGGCGGCGGCGCCGACGGGGCCGGTGGCAGTGACGGGGAAGAAGAGAGGAGCGGGCGGCGCCGGGGGCGCAGCCGGACTCGCAGCGTTAGCGTGGACAAGCGCCTTTAAAAAATGGCGGGACGGTGGAGCGTGCCTGCGTCACCGAATACTTCCAAGAGATTCGACCAGGCCTTTAGATTACAGGCGGCGTGGAAGAAGTGGAGTGACTTGAGTTCGGGTTTGTGACTCCATTTTTCTGTTTGTAGGTGATGTTTTAGAGTGACTGGCATCCGAAAGGGGCGCGCAAAGCCAGCCTCTTCAAGGAAGGAGCCGCGATCGAACGAGATGGCTCGTGGTGCCATCGTGTTGCTATTAGAAGAAGAGGGGAGTGCACCACGCGTTCCCCACGCCGCCGCGTAAGGCCTCTCTGTTGCTCTCTCAATGAGCTTGCGGCCAAGGAGAAACACTTGATGGTTTATTGTAATGCTACACGTATGATTATTTTGCTGTGGGACGGCCTCGGCGGCTGTGGCCGCTGCGTGTGTACTTCACGGCTGGAGAACGTGCGAGCTCTTCCTCTGCAAATGGTGTTTGTAAAAGGTGAAAGTTTGAAGATACAAGCGCGTGTGTCATGGTTTTGTTTGCGCTGAGTTTCACACACTTGGTTTGCGTGAACAAAAG